TTTCCTATCTCTTTTCTCATCTATTAACAACAAAAAGGATTTTAGCTTTATCATGATGTAATTTATTGGTCCAGTCATCAGGATGTTTATTTGTGTGATTTTTTTTGTGTGTGTGTGTGTGAAATAATTTTGATTCCTGCATGGATGTCTGTCTCAGCATCGAATACATAATTTCTTAGTGTTCGTTAAATTAATGAATGTACTTCAGTTAATTAACATTTGAGGGCCATTTGTTAGTGGAAATCCCAGAAGGATCTGATTAAAAATGTCTCACTTGAATTGTCAGAAATCCTCAATAGGTTCCTGGGGTTAATGACGCATAGTCAATAGTGAGTAAAGTCTCTGAGCAGATTCAGGAGACACACATGTTACTATTGGGGATGTTAGGGCTGGAACCACGAATGGCGCTGTTTCCATCATAGGAGTACACACAGCTGCTGTGACGTAGAACCTGCAGCTGCCAGAGAAACCCACTAAAGATTCAGCACCCACTAATACTGCACCCTGTACTGTGGGGAGAGGTGTCACAAATGTGTCTGGAACTCAGAGATGTTCGGTTTGGGGCAGAAATTTCCAGCTTCTGCCCATGGATGATAATTGCAGACATATTTCTGGTGGAAGTGATTAGGGAAGAGTATAAACAAGAAAGGGTTAGGCAAGTTTAAATCTGAGCCTTGAAACTCAAAATATGAAGAAGAGGTGAAGCCTGAAAGGACAGGAATACAAGATGTTCCTTAGGCATTGTTTTGCTTTGTTGCAAGTAGAATAAGAAGCAAGAGGAATAAAAGACAGAATCATCAAAACTCTGATTTGGGGCCACATGATATTCTCTGGCTTTTCTCAGTCTCATTTAGGGAAATCTTCTATAATTAGTCACTAATAGAGTTCTGCTGCCCATTTGATTTTTGGGACCTTTGCTGTGTCCATTTATTCAGTGTTTATTGTCACTAAGCAATTAGGAATGATTTCTTATTTTTTGCCCTGACATATACAAAATAACCACACAAAATAGGAAGTGTAGATTTTATTATTCATATCACTTTCTTGTTAATAACTTTATTTGCCTAAAAGTCAACATAACAAATTGTTTAGTTGACTTAGAGATCCAGTTCATTTTGGTGTTATTGGTCCATGACTTAAAAATACCTTGGGAATCCTCTAAAATGTGGAGCACTATGGCAACCATCTTGTTTAATAGCAATTGATACCTCATAAGGAGCCTTGGTAGCACAGTAGTTTAAGTGCTCAGCTGCTAACTGAAAGCTTGGTAGTTTAAACCCACCAGCCACTCAATGAGAGAAAAATGTGACAATCAGCCTCTGTAAGATGACTCCCTAGGAAACCTGAGGGGCAGTGCTGCTCTGTTCTGTGGGGTAGCTAAGGGTCGAAACAAACTAGACAACAGTAGGCTTCGTTTTTGGTTTCTTGATACAATGGAAGTTTAGGGAGCTGTTCAGTTAAATAATTCTGTTTCAGTATTACAGTCTTAACTGAATTTGCTTTCCTTTTTTTGCATGTGAACAATTTATATTAATAGGAACTTAAATTTTTTGTTGTTGTTCTAAGTACTTAGTAATTTCCTGAAGTTATAAGTCTTTGACTGCACTGATCTTTCCAAAGCAACTACATGTGAAGCTGTAGAATAAAGACTGCAGATGGTGAACAGTCACATAGTGGAAATTTCATGGTATAGAAATCTCGTTACCATGCAAATGTCTTTTCTTATCTGGTTTTTTTTCTTTTTCTTTCTAATACATATGTATATCATACTGAAAATAGGGTAAGAATCAAATTGAATTGGTAATACAAATGCATTTTTGTATGTAGTTTTTCATTTGGTTCATTCACTAAGGATTTATTACAATCTTATTATTCACATAGTGTTGTTGCTAAGTGCCCTCGAGTGGGTTCTGATTCATAGCGACCCTATATGGGATTTCCCAGGAGTGGCTAGTGAGTTTGAACTGCCAACCTTGCAGTTCAAACTGACCATGCATACAGTGCTTATCTTACAGCACCACACTGTTGTTGTCAAGTGCTGTGGAGTCAGTTGTGACTCATAGCGACCCTGTATAGGGTTTGCAAGGAGCAGCTGGTGGACTTGAACCACCCACCTTGCAGTTCAGATGGCTTTGCAGTCTGGCGCATTAACCACAGTGCCACAGCAGGCCTCTTAGAGGTAGGAAAGTTAAGATCTCTTGTCTGTAGGGCTAAAGTCTATTTGGTGTTAAGAGTCTTTGAGTCACTTCGGACTCACAGTAACCTTGTGTAGAGTTTATGAGGAGTGGCTGGTGAGCTTGAACCACTGACCTGGAGGGTCTAATGACTTTGCGGTCCGGTGCATTAACCCTCTACTTAAAGCCAAGGAAGAAAGGGCATCAGGCAGTTAGAATAGAAATATTTATATTTCAGCTTCATTTCCAGAACCCCAATTATCTGCCATCTTATCTCCTTTGAAGCCTCAGCATTTGGACGTATTTCCCACAGTGTCTGCCCTTCACCCTATACAGACAGGGTTGCTGTGAATCAGGACTCAGTTGATGGCACTTAACAGCAACTTTGTTGTTGTTGTTAAGTGCTGTTGAGTCGATTCTGACCCATAGCGACCTAGATTAGTATAATTTCTTTCATTGTAGGATATGTTGTCAGCTGAGATCTCAGGAAGTCTGACTTTCATACAGACCAGTACTGTTCTCTGTAGTGTTGATCCTCTGAGTGTTCCATTGAATATCCTGATGGTGGCAGTGGGGCCCTGGTGGTGCAGTGGTTTGGGCTGCTAACTCAAAGGCTTGAGCCATAAGCTTCTTCTTGGGAGAAAGGGAGTGATCCACTTCTGTAAAGATTTGCAGCCTCCAAACCCTAAGGAGTGGATCTGCTCTGTGTGGATCGCTGAGACCCAGCTGACTTCACTGCAGTGGTTTGATGGTCCCTCCACAGGGCTCATGCACACACTTTCATACAATCACTTTTCCTATCTCTTTTCTCATCTAGTAACAACAAAAAGGATTTTTAGCTCGCCAACTAGAATAATTAATGCAGTTCCTATTAAATTTATTTCTGAATACATTATAGTATCTTACTGCTGACATTGTAGTGTGATGCTGTAGGATAAGCACTGGACTGCTGACTGAAGTTCAGTACTTTACACACCATCCTTGGAAACCCTCTAGAGGGTCACTATGAGCTGATGGCAGTTACAACAACAGCAACAACATCTTATTGTTAGGTTGAAGAATCAGAACTATGGATAAGGAGTGCTGAGTCATTTTAGGAAGAGACTTTAAAGCTGGGATACAGAATCAAGGCACTAAAGCCGTTATTTTTAAAGAAAGTTAGAAAGGCTTTGGACTGCATCCTAAGAGGAATGTCCTTACTGAGAAATAGGAAGAGAGCCACCAAGGAAATGCTGAAATAGGCGGATAGATGTACTCTAGGAAAATTAAAACTAGAAGGAAAGGCTTCAGTTAGTGTCAGTCAGTGATCTTTTACAGAGAGCTCAGGAAAAATGAGGACCAAAGACTGCTTTGGAGGTCAATTTCAGCAGAATGGTGGAATTAAAGCTAGGAAGGTAAGAAGATGGAGTTCGCTGGTATAGAACATGTATTCAAGAACTCTTACCTTTGCAAGAAAGGAATGAGATGGGCAAAACGTAGAGTAGGAAAAAAGATTTAAAGAAAGTGTTTTTCTTTGTAAGGTTGAAGCATGTTTAGATTTACATGGAAGACGAACCAAATAGTTGCTGTTGACTGAATTCAGATTCATGGCCACACCATATGGGTCAGAGTAGAACTGTGCTCCATAGTTTTCAGAGAATCTCTGGGTGGACCTGCCTCTTTAGATTAGCAGCCAAGCATGGTAACTGTTTACACCCCCCACCGACTCCTGGAAGAAGAAGGATGAATGTATTAGTGGAGTAGAGTACTTTGAGGAGTCCTGGTGTGGTGCTGTAGAATAAAGCACTGGATAGCATGGTTAGTTTGAACCATAAGGTCTGCAGTTCAAACTCACCAGCCTCTCCTTGGAAACTCTATACAGGGTCCTATGAGTCGGAACCGACTTGATGGCACTTAATAACAACAAGGTTAATGGGATTGCAGTGCATGTGTTGTTTTGAATTGTCATCTATTCATTTGTATATTAATTAGTTCATGGAACATCTCTTATGCCATTGTTCTGGTAGAGATACAAAGATGAAGAAGCTACCAAATGAAATGTGTAAAGATAATTTTGTACATTTCTTTGTCTTTCTGTAATGGTAATTTATAACCTGAGAGCAAGAAAGGAGGAAATGTACTATGGGCCCATCTCGGGCTGTAGGCTGGCATACATGAGTGTCTAGGGGCTCAGCAGATTGAGGGTAGTGGTGAAGATATTCTGAAGGAGTGGAATCTGTGGTAGGGAAACCAGGAAGGAATGGACTGAATGTAGTTCTGTTACCCCGAACTTGTGGTTAGCAGTCCAGTGCTTATCATACGTTTCTGGGGAAACGGGGGGTTCTTAGGAGCAAGGTGATCAAATGTCTTGGTTGCCCAGCACAGTACTGGTTTGTGCCTGTCGTCTAAGCATCCGATCTGAGTTATCACTTGCCTTCTCTCTCAGAAGTGTCTTCATTGCACCTTGAGTTATGAGGCCATCCCTTTTGTGACTCATTTTGAGATTTTTTTGTCTACACTTTGAGTCACTGGGTGAAGGTATATCTTAGAAGTTGCAAAGAGAAGCCAGCGGCTTTGATTCTAAGAGGTTTAAACATGTGAACAAAGTTGATTTCACAGAATACACTTTATTAAAAGTGTTACAATTTGTACCAAATTTGGTAGTTGCCATTAAAATTCAGCAAGTGTATTGTGATATAATACTTAATCTGAGAGTAACAACCTTTCAAATGAACACATCCTTAATTCTTTGTGCTTTGAGGAAGAGAGAAATATGGTAGTGTTGGGCCTTGGGTTTATGAAATGTTTATGTGACCTAAGTCGTAATCATTTCCTTTCTTCAAACAGCAGCAGTATTCTGAGGGACCCTGTGTGCTTAGGAGGCTGTGAGCACATCTTCTGTTGGTAAGTAATTACGGCTTATATAATAACAACAAATACATAGTGTTCCGAGTCCTGGGGTGACGCTGTGAGTAAATGCCAGACTGCAAAGCTGTTTGAACTGCAAGGTTGGCTGTTCAAGCTCACCAGCTGCTCCTTGGAAATCCTATACAGGATTGCTATGGGTCAGAACTGACTCAATGGCACTTTACAACAACAACTTTTTTTCTTAGCAAATAGTCATATAATCATACTGATAATAATAGAACCTTATGGCTGTGCAGCAGTTATAATCTTCAAAGTAACTTACTGTACTTGATCTCATTTCAGTCGTTATAACTATATTAGTTTACAAATACGGAAATCAAAGCTTAAACATGATGACTTATTCGAAGTTGCAACACTTAGTTAATAGTTTTGGTAATCTTGGAGAAAAACATAATGTCTTTTATATAATTTCAATACTTTAATTTTTTTTTCTTCCATTGAGTTTTGACTCTAGTCTTTGAAAATTATGGAAGTCTAGTTTTTAAGGTTATCATGATGAAATTATAGTTATGGTCTATTGTGAAAGCCCTTGCTTATAGGTAGGAAGATTAGATTTTTATTTCATCCTACTTGCATTGGAGAAATCTGTTGAGGGTCTGAATGTCTTTTTTAAATCTAAAACCTTCTTTGAATCAGTTTTTAAATTATTGTTTAATAAGAGCTTGGGACTACCTGACCTGAGCCAACTGCATTCTGAAGCGTGAACATGACTATAATTAAGCATGCGGCTTAAGTCAACTGGACGTATATGCAAAGCAGCCTTGCTTATTTGGGGTCCCAATCTGTGGTTAATGCGCTGGACTACAAAGTCAGTTTGAACTACAAGGTCGGCAGTTCAAGTTTACTAGCTAACCCTCAGAAACCCTATCCAGGTTGCAATGGGTCAGAAGTGACTCTACAGCACTTAACAACAACAACAATCTTGTTTTGTGAAATACGGACCTTTTAGCTGGAGCACATCCAACAGGATTAGAAATTGTACCAATTGCTTACCTGGTATCTCCATTTTTCAAACTTGACATATTCAAAGCAAGCTCTAGATCTGTCCCCTCAATGCATTCATGCCTCGTTATTCTTCATCAAAGTAAGTGGTACCACTGACTACAAAGTTGTCTTGAGTTCAAGGCATAATAAAACCCCATGTCTTACCGGATTGCTCTGTTTTGTCTGTGTCCTTCATCATTAAATTCCGTCAGTTCTACTTCAAAATACTCCCTGAATCTCAGTTTTCCCTATGTAATTGCTACTATTTATACTTTATTCAGACTCCTGGTGTGATGCTGTAGGATCAGCACTGGATTGCTAACCGCAAGGTTGGCAGTTCAAACCCACCAGCTGCTCTTCAGAAACTCTATGCAGTGTCACTATGAGTCGTATTCAACTCGATGGCACTTAACAATTAAACAACATACTTTACCCAGGAGTCCTAGTGTGGTGATGTAGGATAAGCATTGAACCTAAAGGTCAGTTTGAACCGCAAGGTTGCCTCCTTGGGAACCTTATACAGGGTTGCTATAATTTATAATCGACCCGACAACACTTTATCCAAACCCTCATCACATTATCTTGTTCTATACTATTATAATAGCTTCTTAACTGATCGTGTGGTCTCCTTTTATTTTGCCAGTATCACCCCTTCCCCATTTTCTCTGTTACTGTCAATGACTTTAAAAAGACCACAGCCTTCTATCCTTCAGACTTTTCTATTGCAGTGGGAAAACATCACTGTACAGAACCCCACTCCTGCCTACCTCTTGGGCCTCACTCTCCTTGGGTTCACACTATTCCAGCTGCACCCTCCCCCTTTTTATTTATTAAACACCTTGAGTCACTCCTGCCTCAGGACTTTTGAATTTGTTATTTCTTCTACGTGCAAGAAATTCCAGATTTCTGTGAGGCTGACAATTAAATTCCCACCCAAATGCCACCTCCTTGAAAAGATCTTCTCATCTCCTTGTGAAATGATGCCTGCTCCCAGTAAAATGATGCCTGCTCCCAGTCGTGATTCAGCTGACCAAATGCAACTAAACAATAAGGCGTTGTAGAGCTTCATGAACCCCCTGGATTTGTATGCAAAATGATGTGTGGGAAACTTACCTTTAATTGGATTCTAAAGTGCTATTTAAAGAGAAAATGGTCATTTGTATATGATGTGACCATAGGGCAGAATCCATGATTCAGTGCAATTTTGGTGCTTTTGGTTATATCATGCTAAGAACTAGGACAGCTATTTATATTCTTTGCAGATTCATAGTTACCTAAAACTGCTGGCCACGTAGCCTGCAGTTTGTAAAGATGGTTGTGAGATAGCTCAACCGAAACAAAGAAGTGGTAGGAGGGGCTGGGATGGAACATGGATTTTAATATTGACAGTACTGTTGTAGTTTCAAAGTATTTTCATACCATTTCCTTGTGAAAGTAGTCAGTGTGTTCTCTGTAGAATAAATTCATTGATGACTTGCAGCACTGTTTCTCAAATATTTTGGTATCAGACTCCATTGCACTCTTAAAATTGAGGACCACCAATAGCATTTGAATGTATATGTATATAAAACGTATGTATATAATAGATACATGGGGCCTGCAGAGAGTTCAAAGAACAATTCCATTATCTTTTAATTCCATTCTTCCAGGAACTTTTTGAAGCCCCCTCATGTGTATGTTTGTGGATTTCTCCACTTTGTGGTGCTGGAGTTTATGCACTCGACTGCAAGGTTGGTTTGAACTGCAAGGTCGGTGGTTCAAACTCAGCAGCCGCTCCTTGGAAACCCTATGCAAGGTCATTATGGATTGAACCAACTCAACAGCACTTAACAACAATACAGTATATATATATATATATGGAAAATTTTTTAAAAATTGACGCATTAAAATAACAATAGTAGACCTATTACGTATTGACATAAATAACAGTTTTTTTGGAAAAATTATTTTATAAACTAAAGAACTAATAGTTATTGAGAAAAGTGGCATTTTTGCCTATCTCTTTATTGTCTTGCTGAAAAGAAGATTGCAAGATTCTTACATCTGGTTATATATTCAATCCGTTGACATATGCTGCATTAATTGAAGTATATAAAGAAATTCTGGCTTCACACATACGTTTCTTTGGAACAAAGAAAAGTGTTTTTTAGTCACAGTCTCAGAAACCCTTAGACAAGCAGCTACACAGTTCTCCTCTGTCACCAAGGCTGTCCTGAGTAGGAATCCTACTGGATGGCACTGGGCTCGTTTCAGACAATTGTGGCTTTTCATCGATTCTGTGCCAAATGTTGACAAATGGTCAATTTGTTGAGTATAGAATCGGAAACCATGTCAATGTTAACATTAAATTCCACTGGTTTATCTTGTACTTTGAGTGGAGTTTATACTGGGTTTGATTTCGTTATCTTATAAATACATCATTTGGAGAACATTGGCTAACTGAATAATGCAGAGAGATGCTTTATTTTTCAAGAATTCTAGATTGATATATATGCAATAATATTGGAACACTTATTGAACATGCATAAAATAAAAAAATAAGAGTTTTCTACAAGTTATGTGATGATCTAAAAGACCTGCAGATCCTTTCTCAAAAAGTACTTTATTTTCAAAGTATTTAGATACTTATCCAAAAACAAAACTTACTTTTGTAAGTTTGTGCAGTAATTTTAGGTATTCCTGGGGAGTGATATGGTTTAGCATGGGAAATTTTGAGATCCATGCCTGCTATGTATTAGATATTAAATCTATTTGTTTTTAATCATCTTGCTACTGTAGTCCCTTAGAACCTCTAGGTTTGTTTATACAGAAAAAAACCCCAAAAACGTAAGCAGTCTAATTTCAGACTAATTAAAGTTTCATTGTAGCAAGTTACATAAATAGGTTTAGGTTTAAATTATACAAGAAGGCTTCAGAAAGTTCATGGAAAAAGTCCATTTTCTCTTAATTCCATTCTTCCATGAACTGCTTGAAGCAACTTCATACTTTGTGTGTGTGTGAGAGAGAGACTCCAATTCTTTTTAAACACAATTTTTACCAAGTATTTTACAATTGACACATGTTTCTTAGGAAAAAAACTTTATCTATTTCTGTTTAAACTCTGATGGTTTATTTTCTAGAATTCAGATCCTGCTGATTTCTTTTTTTTTTTTAATCTTGTTTTCAATCTTCTTTCCAGTGGTTGTGTAAGTGACTGCATTGGAACTGAATGTCCAGTGTGTTCTACCCCAGCCTGGATACAAGATGTGAAGATAAATAGACAGTTGGACAGCATGATCCAACTGTGTAGTAAGCTTCAACATTTGCTGCATGACAACGGCCCTTCAGGTAAGAAATACTATTGGTTCTTACTGGATTAAAATAACCAATAAAGTCATATTGATCACATTAAGTATATAAAGGGAGCTATCAGAAATTTTGAATGACATAGTTTAGAAATTCTTAAAATCTGTAATTTTAAGTGCAATTGTTCAAGTGCTCGGCTGCTAACCAAAATGTTGGTGGTTCTAACCCACCATCCATTCTAAAGGAGAAAGAAAGACTTCTTAGGAAATACTAAGGGACGATTCTACTAGGTCCTGTAGGATTGCTGTTAGTCAGAATCATTCAGCAGTACATAACAACAGCAACAACAGCATAGTGTTGAAATCATTTTGAGAAATTGTAATTACCTTGGGGATTACTAAGTCTAGCTCCCTTATTCTCTAGAAGAGAAACCGAGGTCCAGAGAAGTTAAATGATCTTGACTCGAGTCGTACGTGTACTTAATACAGAATTGAGAGAAATAGAACCCGTTTCTTCTGATTTTCAATCTGGTCTTTTCCACTACCTTGTGCTGCTTGCTTTTTACTGTTAATGATAATTTCTCTGTGATATGGAAGGAATAGCGATTTGTCCTTAAAAGTACTTAACTCTCTTAAATACACTTTTATAGGATAGAATGCAGCATTTTCCAAGTAACACTTTCCTGTACTCAATTAATTAGAGGAGCATACTTGGAGACAGTGAAAATCTAATATTTTTCTTTTCTGTTTAAATGGGGGCTAATGTTTTTCAAATTGTTCTTCGACTCTGTGTATTAACTATATATCTTCCCATTGTGCTTTCTGCTGAGAACTAATTAGCTGTGGAAAGAAAGTGAAGTGTTTTGAGTCTTTGTAATTGGATATTGGAATTTTCATTTTATTGTCTAGATCATGCTATTTTAGCTTGTATTTATAGGAGAACCTTTTCTTGACTGATCAGATGCTATGCATGATTGATAATGTTCTTATGAAATTATTAGATCTTGTTTTAAATTTCATGTTTTTAGATATATGACATAATTTGACAGTACCAGCTATAAAAGAGGAAGATGATTGACAAAATAAAGACACAAAGCAAAAGTACTTTGAGTGTTATTGACAAGAGATCCATTTTTAAGAAGAAAAATTTACATCATACTCTACTTTGAAAAGGATATCATCATGTAGTTACCTGGACCATTGTAGTAAACTCCATTCTTTTATAATAAAATGTGCTATAGTGGTGCTGTTTAGAATAGTCTAACCTCAAAGCATTCTATCATGTGATCTCCAGCATCATTTCTGTCACCAAGGACATATTTTCCAAATACGGATCTTCCTCTTTGTTTCCAGTCTTTGCATACCAGTAATTATCAATACATCTTGATTAAATGTTTGATCAATATCAGACTGAAGAAGTTGGTTGTTGTTGTTAAGTGCCGTGGAGTCGGTTCCGACCCATAGCGACCCTGTACAGGGTTTCCGAGGGTGTAAATCTTTACGGGAGTAGAAAGCCTCATCTTTCTCCCGCGGAGCGGCTGGTAGTTTCGAACCGCTGACCTTAAGGTTCGCAGCCCGATTCGTAACTACTACGCTACCAGAGCTCCATTAGAATTCTTCAATTTAATCATCACTGGTTTTAGTGGTTTGGTGCTTAAATTTGAATAATAGTTATATTAGTAGGCATATGGATATCCCATCACAGACAGTGTTGTACTTCAAGATCAGTCTTGAAATGTTCTTTTTGATGATGAATGCAATGCAATTTGTTATTTCTGGTATAGCAAACTGTGTGTTTGTAAGATTCAGAATGGCCAGTACCAGTCCATTTCATCTTACTAGTGCCTAGGATATCGATGTCTATGTGTTCAATTTCATTTTAGAAAATTTTCAATTTTCCTAGATTCATACTTCGTACATTCCATGTTCCAATTATTAATGGATGCTTCAAGTGGTTTCTCTTCATTTTGCTTGTACCCCATCAGCAAATGAAGATTGCAGTCAACTCTACTTTGAGGAGGCAGCTCTTCCCCAGTTGTATTTTGTGTGCCTTTCAACCTGAGGGTCTCATTTTCTGGCACTATATCTGACAGTATTCTGGTGTTCATCATGTTTAGATATTCAACATTCTGGTGCTCTCTGACAGTGTTCCATGGCTATTCATAAGGTTTTCAGTGACTAAATAGTTGGAAGTACTTCGTTTCTCTTTGATAAACTCTGGAAGCTCATCTAAACCTGTCCACCATGGGTGACCCTGCTGGTATTTAAAACATTGTTGGTACAGCTTCCAGAATCACAGCAACATGAAAGCCACACCAGTGTATGACAGACTGACAGAATTGTTCATTACAAATATCTTTTTTTATTATATAAAAGATGACTATACACATGGACCTCACCAGATGGAATACACAGAAATCAAATTGACTACATCTGTGGTGACTACATCTTCATTCAAAATATGGCCAAAGGTAGACTGTAAACAGACTATCAGATGCTAATATGCGAAGCTGAAAGAAATTCATACTGTCCGTGAGAACTAAAATATGAACTTGGATATATCCCATCTGAAATCATTTCAAGAACAGTTTTGATGAATTAGACACTAATGACCAAAGACCAGGAGAGTTGTGAGATAACATCAAGAGCATCATACAGAAAGACAGCAAAAGGTCATTAAGAGACAAGAAAGTAGAAAAAGATCAAAATGAAGGTCTGAAGAGACTCTGAAACTTGCTCTCCAGCATACACATGGTAAAGCAAGTGGAAGAAATGAGGAGGTAAAAGAGGTGAATAGAAAGCTTCAAAGGTCACCTCGAGAAGACAAAGTCAAATATTATAATTAAATATGCAAAGATCTGGGGTTAGAAACCCAAAAGGGAAGAACATGCTCAACATTTCTCAAGCTGAGGGAACTGAAGAAAAAACTTAAGCCTCAACTTGCAATATTGGAGGATTCTATGTGCAAAATATTGAATATGCAGAAAGTATCAAAATATGGAAGAAGTAAACAGAGTCACTGTACCAAAAAGAAATGGTTGATGTTCATCCATTTCAAGAGGCAGCATATGATCAAGAGCCAATGATACTGATGGAAGAAATCCAAGGTGCATTGAAGGCATTGGCGAAGATCAAGGTCCTGGGAATAGAGGAATAAAAATGGACCTCTTTCAACAAACTTTCGTGGCACTGGAGGCACTTACTCATCTATTGTCAATAATTTGGAAGACTGCTACCTGGCCAACTGATTGGAAGCAATATAAATTTGTGCCAATTCTAAAAAGAGGTGACCCAGTGGAATGTGGAAATCATTGGACAATAATCATTTATATTGCATGCAACTAAATTTTTAGTAAAGATAAATCAAAAACACCTGCAACAGTGCATTGACAGGGTACTTCCAGAGGTTAAAGCCAATTTCAGTAGAGGACGTCGAACGAGGTATATCATTACTAATGTCAGATGGATCTTGGCTGAAAACAGAGAATACCAGGCAGATGTTTACCTGTACTTCATTGACTATGCGAAGGCTTTTGATTCTGTGGATAATGACAAACTATGGACAACATTGCAGGGAGTAAATATTCCGGAACACCTAATTGTGCTTATGAGGATCCTGCTGACCAAGAGGCAGTTGTTGGAACAGAATGAGGGAACACTGAATGGTTTAAAATCAGGAAAGGAATGCACAAGGGTTGCATTCTTTACCATACTTATTCAATCTGTATGCTAAGCAAATAATTTGAGATGCTGGGTTATATGAAGAAAATGGCATCTGAGTTGGAGGAAGACATTAACAACTTGCGATATGCAGTTGATACAACCTTGCTTACTGAATGCAAAGACAACTTAATATTTACTGATGTAGATCAAGGCCACACACAGCCTTAAATATGAGTTGCACCTCAATGTAAAAAAAATCTTCACTATGGACCAGTAAATAACATCAAGATAAATGGAAAAAAGTATTTATCTTCAAGCTCACTAATTCAGGCTTCCATTGTTTTGCATTTACTCGTTTATACTTTCAATTTATTGTCCATTTCTGAAGTCTTAGTATTAATCTTCTGGATTTCTAATAGCAGGTTACAGTGTTTCAAAGTTTGCATTTATTTTATGTTTGTTTTTGTAGTACTTTCCTCAACTCTTCGAAAGTTTTTTCTGTATTCTTGTTCTCCTTGATCTTTCTGTCAGCCTTTTGAAGGAACCTACATATCATTCCTTTGAATTCTTTTTCAGTTAGTTCCATTGCCTCTTTTTCAAAATGTTTTCTGGCTCTATATCTTGGTCATTTGTTTGAGTCATTCTCTCTTGTTTCTTCTTGTGAGTTAAAATTGTTGTCTCTTGAGCATTGTGGGGTTTTTGTATTTGTCTTTAATTGATGATTGTATGATAATATATTCTTAGGCTCTCACTAACTGTATCCTGTGGGTATAGTTGGCAATGAAAGTGAGTATATCATTCTTGTTCATCGTTCATGTACCTTATTTTAGGGTGGGTTTGACTGGTGTTAGCTGCTGTCTGTCATTGATCAGGTGGTATAGGAACTGGTATTGCCTCTTGCTCAGTGGGTAGAGCTGTTGTCATTTTTGTTAAGTACCATCAAATAGATTCTGACCGATAGCGGCCCCTGTATAGGTTTTAGTCTGAAAAGGCTGCTGGTGTGTTGGAACCACTGATCTTGTGGTTAGCAGTCCAGTACCTATCCTACAGTATCAATTCAGGATTCTTGGGTGGAGCTTTAGAAGACAGAATTGTGGCTAGGCTGAATGGGGAAGGGGTTGCTGTCTTTTGTCGGGTGGGAAAGAAAAATGTGCTTCCCCCCCCACCCCCCTCACATACAAGGAAACAAAACAATAAATAAGGAAGAAAAAATGAAAAGAGAAAATAATGAAGAGAAAAAATAAAACAGGCAGCAGTCACATAAAAAAAGGAATATAACTCTAAAGATATAAGAGAGGGACCGGGAAATGGCACTATAGAAGAGAAAAATAAGACAACTAAAGAAATTAAAAAAGACACTTAGGAAAACCCGGGAGGGGG